TTTAATTTACCAAGAATTAAAATACCATCTGGAATATATAACAATAAAAAAATTTTAGCGCTTTTAAATGATTATTTAAACGATTTTAATGTTTTTTTTAATAATAAAAATGGAAAAAATAATATAATTTTAACAAATGAATATAATTGTTACTATGGTCAGGGAAAAGAATCTTATATCAAAAATGGTAAAAAATATGATTTTAAGAATTATATTTGGACACAACCCGTTATGAACAAAATAGAATATATTGATTATGCTACAGGAAATAATACCTTGGAATTTAAATTGACTTTTTCAAAAAAATTAAGTTTTATGTTGGGATTGGATAAAGAAGAAATAAAATATACATTTGATTCTGGATTTGATTCTAGCGAACGTAAATTTTTAAAAAAAATTAAAATATTTCATTGTCCATATCTTCCTGATGAGACAATTGGGTTAAATAAAATGTTTATATATTGTGATAAAATTGATAGTGAAATTGTTGGTGATTCAAGAGTGATTGTTATGTATTGTCCTTTACATTATGCAGATGAAAGTGGAGACGACTTGTTTGTGTACAACCCTCCAATTATAAAAAAACAATTAATTTCTTCATTTATTAAAGATTTAACTATAAAAGTGTTGGATCATCAAGGCAACTATATACCATTTGATTCTGGAAATATAACGTTGGAATGTCAAATTGATTGAAAAAATGGAAATTAAGTTACGACCTATTAAAATACCTAATCATAATCATGCTTTATCTCGAAATTTTTTTTGGCAAGATATAGATATATTATATCCATTTAATTTATCAGGAATTAGTAAAAATAATAAAATTTTATATCGAGTAAAGAGTTTAAAACCAAAAAATTTCAAAAAAGGAGGATTTAAATTAAATATTTATTCAGTTATTCCATATGATTTTTTTACTAATACAAGCGGAAATGTACAAAAAATACCAGATCTTGGTGATTTAACTAATGTGAAAAATTGTATACCAGATAGTATAAGAAATATTAATAACGAACCGAATAATATTAAATTTTTTTTATTAATGCATAAAAAATTTTTTTTATATTTAAATGGAGGATTAGCCAAATTAGATGCTGTTGCTAATTTTAATTTGCAATCAATGCAAATAATGGAATATGAAAAAGCTCCTTCGATTCTATTTTCAAAATATATATTATTTGAATTGGAGTACGATGATTCAGATAACTATATCACTGACGAAGAACTAGATATATTTTTGGACTTAAAATTTGAAGAAAAAAAAAATGAATGAAGAAAGAAAAAATATTTGTATAAATATTATGAAAATGTATTAGAGGGTAATGGAATGAAATATTGTAGTCCACATTTTAATTATATAAAATATAAATCTAGTTCTATCACTGAAAAAAAAGGAATTTGTCCACCTACGGGTTTAACTGATGTTAATAATTTATTAAAAAACAATTATCAGAATATACTGTAAAAGAAAAAGAGGAAAATAAAAAGATTTTCAAAGAGAAAGAAAAGAATTGATGATGATTTATTGAATTTTTGCAGAAATAAATTAAATTTCTTGTAAATAATATATATTTATAAGCTATTAAAAATTATCATTTCATTTTATATCTTTGTTGGTAGTGTGAAGTTCTAACTAACAAAAATAATAAAAATGGCAAGCGTTAGTGAAAATGAAATTGATAAAATGATCATGTTGTAAGCAGTAATTTAAATTTATTTCAACCAGTTCCTCGAAATCACACATTTTAGAATTTAGACCTATTTATTTAAATCGAACCTGACGAACCTTATGCAAAAATTCAATGTATAATGTCAAAATCCGAATATGGATTGCTGAGAACTGATGACTTCGATATGAGTGGTAGAATAAAATTAATGGCTGGTGGGACTTTATTTAATGATTTAAACATATGCGTTTATCCAAGACCTCTAACTAACATGTGGTGTAATATAAATTTATATATTAATGATGTTTTAGTAAATAACATTACTAATCAGTATAATAGAATTTCGTATTTAAAAAATATTTTATATACACCATATGAATCACGTGGCGATTTAGGAGCTGTAAATCTAGATATATTGGATGGGAGTGGAAAAATGGATGTAGTAGATAAAATTGCGGATAATGTAACTGGTAATGATCGAGCTGATGTAAATGGGAAAAATGCACGAGTAAAGCTTATAAATAATAAGACTTGCAAAATTATAGACCAACTTGATATGACTTTGATAAATGGCTATGGTAAAACAACATGGATTACATCAGCTAGTGATTTGAAATTTCAATTTGCAAGAGCAGATAAAACAAATTATTTGATGGGGTTAGCTGGTGATAATCCCCAAAATTATGATATTCATCTTAAAGATTTTAAGATAAATACTAGAATGTTTAAACCAAATGAACAATTGAGTAAAGCCATAAATAATAAACTGATACAAAAAAATGAAGAGTGTCATTATTTTGTAAATAATATGAGAGTTGTTACAAAAACTCTTCCTATTGGATCGCAAGCAATCAACTGTTATGATGTATTCACTGGTGGTTTACCATCAAGAGTTTTTATAGTTTTTCAAAAAACAACAAGATTTAATGGATCACATCAACTCAATTGTCACTTATATAATTTATTGAATTTCCGTTATTGTTGTGCACGTACTAACCGTGCAGTAACACATGAGTATTACGGTCGAAAAGAAGCATATTGGAATTTAAAGAAAATTTTAAATAAAAAAAATGAAAAAATGAATTTTGATTACGCACGATTTAAGTCTGAATGTGGAATTATCGGGTTTGATTTATCTCCTAATCAAGATAGTTTCACCGAAGTTTTATCGGGTCAGAATACAGGGGATTTCGGATTTGATATTAATTTAAAAAAAGCATTAACTGAAGCACATACGATGATATTTTTTGGAGAATTTAGAAATCAAATGAATTATGGATATAAAATCCCTATATATTTTGAATATCGATTTTAATTTTGTTATTATTGTTGTGTATTCAACATGAGAAGAACAAAAAAATTATATAAATTAAAGAGAAAGAGAAAAAATTTAAAAAGAAAAACTTTAAAAGTAATTGATATTGATTTTCCATTAAAAAAACAAATTATACACGTTGATCCAGTAATAAATCCTACTTATTTATAATGGATGATAAAGAAAATGTAAATGAATGGGGAAAATATGATATGGAAAATGAAGATAATAGAGAAAATGCGGAAAAAATTGTTAAAGACGAAAAGAATTTAATTAAAGAAAAAAATAAATTTGATGAAGAAAAATTTGATTCTGATGATGATGATGATGAATATGAATTTGATGATGATAACGATGATAATGATGATGATGATGATGATGATGAAGAAAATATTTTAAATGAAGAGGTTTTAAAAGCAATTGTCAAATTAGTCGAATTTTCAAAACAAAAGAAAAAAAGTGA